CGTGCGCCACCACCGTGTCTGGGAAATAGCAGCTCCCTTCTTCCTTGATAGCCTCGCAATCCGCGCCTCCCTCCCCGCACGCAAAATCCAGCGCCTCCTGCAGCGTCTCTGCGGGCACGCTCGGCTTTGCCACACACCAGACCTTCTCCCGGAACCCAAACGCCGGCGCACTTGCAGCTCCCAACGGCTCGCACGGGGGGAGATGCGGCCCGTACGGCGGGCTGGCCGCCGGAGACAGAGGCGGGAGGAAATGCGGCGCCGCCGGAGAGATTGTCCCCACCAGCGGTGGCAGGGGGGGCTTCGCGGCGGGCGCCGGGAAAGGGACGACGTTGTTGCTGATATCGATGGCGGAGAGCTTCCGGGAGGTGGGCAGGTTTCCGGCCGTTTGGCTCGAAATTACCAAATTGACCCTGCCGGCGTGGAAATCCCCGAGATTCTTCAACGGCAGAGAGTGGGATTTCAGAAAATCGAAAATCTTTTCGGACAATGGGTTCACCGCAATCGGCGACCCAATTTCTTGCAGAGTGACTAACAGAGGTTTAATGTGGTTTTCGGCTAAATCGTCTGTGTAGACGTCTGATCTTCCGTCCAAACAGTCGGATGAAAAGGAAGTGGTGGCCTTGATGTCGTTCTGGAGGCCCCACCTGGTGAGGGAGTAGTGGAGGTTCCTGACGGCCGGCCGGACGAGGCCAAGCAGGCGGCGGCGGCGGTCATCGCAGAAGACAGCGTGGCCAACGATGATGGCGGTGACGTTGGTGGAAGGATAGTGAGGTAGAACGTGGCTCCTGAGCCATGTCTCGGCCATTAAGACGCTGCCGGAGACATTTTCCAGGTGCTCGGCCGGGAGGTGGAAGGCGACGGGGTGGCCGTCGAGGGGTGGCGGTCGGGGGACTGATGTCGGGTCGTGGAGCGGCAGTAGTAGTTGCAATGGTTCTTGAGCTTTGGCTGTGGAGAATAAGTAAAAAAAAAATATATAAAAATAAATTAAAAATAAAGAAACTGGTTACACACTTGCACTTTATTAAGTTCTTCTTCTGACTTCTGAGGTTATAAAATAAAAAATGCCAATAAAAAAATAATAATAATTTAATAATCTTACCAGGTGAGATCCTCAGGAGGAGGAGATGG